TCATCATTCTTCTTGAACCTTCCATGATAGTTAGTAGCAATGTGTCAGATATAATACTGATGTTGGACATAGGGTGGTTGCCACATTGGATCCAAAAAATACATTGTTGCTTTGATCCTGCCTGAAAAGACACAAATTTTTCCCATCGTGATAACATGTAAACGTAAGTTTCTGAGGAAACCCCCCCCAAGAATATGTATCTTCTCATTCAACAAGGACAAGAGAAACTGGAATAATATTGCGATTATCATCTTGGAAAATTGTCAATAGTAAAACTTGTTTGTATTTTCCATACAAGAATGTCCCGTCAATTTGTACCATGAGCTTGCAGTATTTCACAACATTAATGTATTGTGGGTAAGTCTAAAAAAGTCAGTAGAATTGACATCGATCGTAAATCACTTGATCATTATGGTATGCATGGCAAGTTTCGAAGTCAATAATTGTCCCAAGATTCAATCTGCGCACTACCCTAAACCAACTTGGTAGTTCGTTGTAAGATACATCCTATTCTCCGTGAAGTTTTTTAATGGCATTCTGCTTTGCCTTTCATGCTTTCTTGCATGAGACGGTATACTCATATTGTGGTTGTATAGCTAAAATCAGCACCACAATAACTATATGAGAGCTTGCTTTTACCATGGGCATAATGGCTTGACAGATAATGTTGGAATCCAAGTTGGGATGATCCTAGTTTATCTCTCCAACACAACATGTGTGAGGACCGTTGTATATCGTTACTTCCCATATATTATTTTTCTTCTTCCTCTTTGATGCGTGAACCATCCAATTGCATCCGTTATCACGTTGGACATAGTGGCAGATATACTCTTTGGTGGTAGAATGACCGACTCTGGACTGAACAAAATTACGAATATTGTAATTCTTAATTGTCATCATCGCTTATTCTTTGCGTGGAAACTTCATTCATTTATATAACTCACCATCATTGACTGATGAGTTAAATCCGTAGTCACCGACATTAGGTATATCCGTAAATTCTAGCTCGTATATTACACTATAGTCAGCTTCATACATGTATGCTAGAGGTTTGGTGTATATCGTATTTTTGGAAACTTCATCTACATCATCATCATCAGAGTCCATGTTGAATTGCGGTGATTCTGGCTGAACGAATAGTTCAGTCTCAGCACCATCTGCACTGGCTCACGAAGAGGTTCTTCTGGTGGATATAAGGGTTCCTCCACGATGTCAATATTTAGGTCAAACAAACTAGTATTTGAATGTCTTCCCCCTTGAACTTGAAGGCATCTCGACATTGAGGTCGAAGAAGCTTGCTGTTAAATGCATCCCCTGGAACTTGAAGGTATCGTGTCAAATGGGTATTGCACAGATTATTGCATCGAGGGCATCTCTATATCCAGGTAAAAGAAATTGGCAGATGAATGTCTTACCCTTGAACTGGACGCGCTGTTGCCATACGTATTGTTTGTGGAGCCACCTCGGTACATATCGTAAGAAGTTGATGATGAATGTCTCTCAATTGAACTTGATGGGATGGCACCATGATGTGGATTTCCCATTAACGAGTTAAAATCATTACATATTACTTAAGTTGGGCTGTCAACTTGATCAGTTTGTTGAGTCAGCCCATAGTAGGAGCATAATGACATAACACGAATAACACGCACTTCAACAAATTTCGTATACATCGATGTCTGAATAATGATTTTGAGAATCAACTATCATAGCAACATCGTCATCGTTGGACAGTTCAAACGCTATATAAGTTAACGAAAATATTGCGGTTGGAAATCTGTACTGAAGTGATGACAGTCTTCTAGTACTTACAACATGAACCTTCCTTGAAATTTTCATTATCAGCTCCTCAAGAGTTATGTTTCTCTTGAAGGATATCTGACATAATGATTTGATGCGAAGATGACGCCGGTTTCATCTTCCCGAAATTCTCCATCATAGTAAACAATAGCTGAAATACGCGTCATTCTAAGAGTTTGAAAGATTGAGAGTCTTATATATACAAAAACAATAGCTAAAATATACCTACTTAAATAAATAGTATATGAATTAAAATATAAACTAATAAAAAATTAAAAAATTTCACAATAATTTAAAATTTAAATATATTGTTATCGTATCGACAAAAATGTCTCGAGGTATGATCCCACTTTCCAATTTTACAATCGTAAAAAATAATGCAAAATAATTAGTACAATAATTTTTTTAAATAATCATATATAAAATAAATATAATATAATAAAAAAAATTTATCTTACAACAAAAATAGAAGGAATTGATAAAGCAAAATTAGAAGAAATTGATGTGGTGATAGTTTCATAGAGGGTGTGTTATTTATAGGGGAGGGGAGCCTTTAAAGGTCGAGCTGCTTGGGTGGTACCAATAATGGAAGGCACAGATGATGATCTGCGCCCATCTTGACGTGGCGCCAGTTCGGATAAGGCGCGGATCGCCATCCACACCTTTAATGATGTGGCGCCAGTTCGGACAGAACCCCGCAAAGGCGCTGATGATGATCTGCGCCTTGTCAGAAAGGGTGCTAGATCGTTAAAATTAAGAGAAAGAATGTCTGACAGATAATTATTACCTGTACGGGTGATATTTTGGTAAAATCACCCAACTTTGTTTGTCTATTATTTTATTTGTCCGTACTCAAAGGAAGGAATTAAAAGCTCTGTTTCAAAGGAAGGAATTAAAAGCTCTGTTTTGAAAACCGGACCGGACCGGCCGGTTCAACCGGGAACCGTTGCTTAGTCCGGTTCAATCTAAACCAGTTGAACCGCTATTAGTGAACCGGCTAGAACCGTTGAACCGTTCGAACTAGACTGGTTGAAAACCGGAAAAATCGGGATTTTTGTTTTTAAAAAAAAAAAATTAAACCAAACAACGTCGTTTGTTAAACGAGCCAAGTCGAACTCGAGTATTGCTGAGCTCAACTCAACTCAAACTCACAAGCTAAAAATTGTCAAGTTCAACTCAAACTCGAAATATAATATTGAAACTTGAACTCAAAAAGGCTTAAACTCAAAAAAAAATTAGAAGCTCGATTGAAGCCTAAAATTCGAGCTTGATTGAAGTGAAAGAATAGTTCACTCAATACTCACCAAAAGGCTCCATGATTTTGAATGCCAAATTACCTCTATTATTTATAGAAGTTAGTTGTGATGCACTTCTATGTTTCTTAGCAATGTGAGATTGTTTTGTTCTCATATTTTTTACTCTTTAGACTTTTGGGATGCTCTTCTATGTTTCTTAGCCATGTGGAATTGTTTTTAAAAAAAAATTAAACTAAACAATATCATTTTGTTATGATTTTTTTAACCCCAAATTTATTTTTTAATTATAATTATATAATCATATTTATTATTTAATATGTTTTACCTTGAATATTATGTTGTAGTTAATTTGATTCATTTTGTTTCACTTGATTTTATAGTTTTTAACTTATATATGTTATGACTTGCTTTGAATATGACTTGTGATATAACAAATTATTTTTTATTAAATATTTTTAGTATTTTTATTTAATTTTTTAAATAATTATGACGTCATCCGGTTCTTCCGACCGGTCAAACCGGTTCGACCGGTTAAACTAATAAACCGGTAGCATGACCGGTTCGTTAACCGGTCCGGTTCTGAAAACCACCTGAAGCGTGAAGTTTTAGGTGTTCTCTCCTCAATGGTAGCTCCTGTTTTTCACTTGAACCACTGAATCTAAAGTCATCAGGCCCACGATAATGATTTAAAACAACTTGGGTCAAATATATGGAAAGAAGACCCCAAGTTATCTTCAATGGCTCGAATCAAAAGAGCCCAACTCTGTGGTTTACGTGAATTAACTTTGGCATCATCACTGTGACGACACCTGATCAGCTGACTGAATTTGCTTGGGGGTTGGAAAATAGAAACCAAACATTTTTTTGGGGTTATTAGGCCTGATTTAGTATGTGGGGACAAATACAATGCACTTCTACCATCAGAATTTTTTACAGTGATCGGCTTACTGGCAAGTTGCTTCCCGCAGGAACAAGTTTTGAGCCACCCTTCTGTTGGTGGATTCTTGACGCACTGTGGATGGAATTCTACGATAAAAGTATATCGTTTGGTGTTCCAGTGATTTGCTGGCGATTCTTCGCCGACCAGCAACCCAGTTGTTGGTTCTCTTGCACTAAATGGGGAATCGGCATGGAAACTAACCGCAATGTCAAGATGTATTAAGTTACTGGGCTGGTTAGAGGGTTAATGGAATGAGAAAAAGGCAAAGCGATGAAGAAGAAAGCTTTGGCGTGGAAGAAGCTGGAAGAAGAGGCTACCAGCAACCCCAATGAATCATCGTATAAAAATCTAAACCAAATTTTGCTGTCTCCATTAGGTTAAAGACACAGCACAACTTCTTTACATGCATTTTCTGGACATTGACATCAAACTTGAAAAGACTGATTATAATAACTTAAATCTCTTTAATTTTTTTATTTTGTATGTTCATTTGATGTTTGTACAGATATATACAGATTTATAATTTCTAATCCTCTAACCAAATAAATAAATAAATAATTTGAGATCACAGAATCAGTGCATGAATAATTTGGAACATGTTATATGCACCAGATAAAGGTGTAAAGATGAAACATTCTTCATATTACATAAAAAATTATTGATAGGGATTTTTGGTGGGCAATAAATTTAAATAAGGTTGTCAGGTTCAACTAGATAAAAAATATTAAAACAAAAAGTCCAATATTCATAAGTATTATTAATTATAGCAATCATTATATTTGCAATACATTTACAAATAATTCCATCATTAGTTTCTTATGCTACTGTCCTAACCATACAAATTAGATTAGTAGATCAAGTAGCTTGTAAACATTTTTGCTGATTATTATGGTTATATATAAACAAAATAAAGAGAATGAAAATACCATTCTTATGTAATATATAAATCTTGTTAATTACTGATTTTTGAATTAATCCCGTGCACAAAAGAAAATAACAAGATGTTGAGGCTAAATTGTTAAGCAAATTTTCCCTTTTTAGTAAGGGAATGTGCTTCCCTTTTTCTGGTTCAAAGTTCATACAGTGTAGTTCTGTAAAGGATGTTAACACTCTTGATGAATGAATGACTTGAGAGAAAAATAGAATAAGGCGAAAAAGATCAGCATAAGGCGGTTGATTAGTCCTCCTTATTCCTGCCATAGGCCACAGCAGTAAGTTGTTGCAGTAGTACTCACCTATGGCTAAATAATTGAGAATATGAGAGTGAAATAAGGTGATGAGAGGAACATAAAAACTTATCAAGATTGTACAGTTTGATCATTTTGGCATGGATGATGAGTTCTCCTTCCCTTTCAGGTTTTTGGACTTTCAGAAGTGATGGCCCCAGCTTCCGTTTCTGTGGATGGAGGCTGAGTAGTCTGAGAATCTGAGACCAAAATCAGTAACAAAATTTATGACGAGCACATATACAAGTGAAAACAGCAAACTAATGATGAAGATTTGAGAGTCTAGTACGTATATTTTCATAGTTAGAGAAAATAATGCCCTAGCATGTGATGTTTCACTGAGAAACAGGGCCCCCTCTGCCTGCCTGGCTTCCATGTTATGTCTTTGTACATTACATTGAACTGGAAGCATTGTAAATTTGGTTAATCTTATTGACGTAATTTTATGTAGGAACATAAGAAATGGTTAAAACAGTGGGCAGTGAATAACATGGTAACTGAGGCTCTTCACTTTGACTGCATGATGAGAATCAATCAAAAGCATCATCCCTGATACTGAAACCACATGCAATCACTATTTGTTTACACTATGCTCCTCTGTCATAACTTTCTATTTGACCCATCATTCGGGTCATGCCAATAACCACACAGCTCATTCACATGTTTGACGTTGCCCATGTGGCCCCCCTTCCCCTTTGGCACATGCTACACTAAATTCCTAATACTATATATTATCTGTGTCAGAATGTGTATGTGTGAATCAAAGGAAGATGACAGAAAAATTACTACCACTTACCAAGAATGAATTCTAAAAGGCATATCAGCATTTAGCTCAGGTGCGTTCTTTTACTCAAAAGAAATGTGTATCATCATGTATATGAAGCCTAAATAATGTTGGTAGTAAAAAAATGACAAGAATATTTACCTGCAGAAGAGTACTGAAAGGGATGCCTAGGATGGAAAGGTGGGGGAGGATAGTTGGAGAAGGACCCCTCCATTTGTGTAGGATAGTAAAGATAGGACGGTCCGGGGATACGTTGAGCCTGGGGTGCAGAAAATGTTCCCCCGGGAGCTTGCATGGAGTAGCCAAAATAATACGGTGACCCCATTGTGGAAGATGATGATCCATACAGTTGATGATAGTATTGTCCCTGCTGAATTTGTGGATTGTAGAGAGTCTGCATTGCCATTTCAATAACATTCCTTATCGGATATTGTTGGCTGAACTACTTGCTTTATATGGAACAACTTATATATTGATGTTAAGTTTTGAAATCGACAGAGAAATAGGTTTCATTGCTTACTTGGTGATACCCGTATTCAGGACTGTAAGTTGGGTACCTGGAAAGATGGAATTCATCAAAAACATTTAGTAGAAATATGAGCAAATGACTATAATTGTGTTGAAAATTATTGGATATATCAACCCTATATTTCTTTTGTTTAGCGAAACTAACGCCTTTAGCCTTTTTTTTACTGCATTGGTATTGTACGGTTCCCATTCTTTTATCTTATTTTTCATCCTAGTCACGACAATTTTCTAGTCAAATGCATGCATGGTCATTTTTACTATGTACAGTCTGATATGCCAACTGCATCGAGAAACACGCATAATTAAGCATAATGTAACTATACTAACACAAAATTTTCCAACTTAAGATTTTTTAGGGCATGCATGTACCACTTCCTCTAACTAGAGCACGAAACAACCAATAGCTTGATTTGATTGTAAATAATAGGGAGAGCTCACCCATAAGGTGGATACATGACAGCTGGTAGCGGGGGCAGCGGTGGTGGAGGCACAGTTGCTGTAACTCCACTATAAGACGGTGTACCTTGCTGTGCAGCTCCCTGAAAAGGAGTACTACCTTGATTTCTTCCTGCATTGAAATTCATCATATCCGTTTCATTATTGTCACCATCTGTGTTTTTTTTCTTTCACTTCCCATAAAATAAATTAATGAGGAAAATGCAGCTCATATGAAAGAGTATGGGGACCTCGTGGCGGTGAAGGTCTAGACCTTCTAACTGAAGCAATGTTACAATTTGCTCTTCTTTCACCAATCACAGGGTTTGGTTCAATACATGCCCTCCGAGCTGACTCAGGATCACGGAAAGTAACCTACACGAATGTAGTGATATTGGCATATTGCACAAGAAACTTAGCCATTAACAAAGTAGTATATATATAAGAACTTACAAAGCCATATCCCTTAGATTTGCCAGTGTTTTTATCAGTGATGATAACAGCTTCAAGAATCTCTCCAAACTGCTCAAAATACCTACGCATTTCGTCGGTCGGGGTCTCCCAAGCTAGTCCCCCAACAAACACTTTGGTAAACGTAGTGTCACCAAAATTTGGTCGATAATGTGCATAAGCCATCGCATCTAAACAAACAAAACAACAAGTGGGTAACTTTCCTTTTGCATCAAAACTCTCGTTTTGTATGGATCACATATTACAGTTGACAAGAAAGGTTCAGACAGCCGAATCCTCTGCAATTCCACCTCATTTCTCTTCCTTCTTGTTGCTCTACTGTGCTTGTCTCTATTTCCATTTCCCCTTCTTTTAAGCTTTCATTTCACCACAGAGGAATCATTGAAGAGGGTCACAGAATGAGATGAAGCCTTGTTTATGATGTTACAGAAGTTGTTGCCGGTTGTTATTATTTTATGAGTTGGTTAATAAAAGAGAAAACCAGCAAGGGAAAGAAAGAAAACAGTAGTTTAAAGACACAGAGACCAGACAGCTGCAAACGTTAATTTGCTGTCGATTGAGATATTGAGAGAGAGAGAGAGAGAGGGTAGGGGGTTGGCTTCGTTATATCGAATGGCACCTGAGCCTGCGTGACTGCACGCACTTGACCATCTCTTCACTGTCTCTGCGTTAATATACTCTCCTCAACCCCTTAACCAGTAGTTGTGGTTTCCTTTTTTTTTTCAGGGTTACTTTTTCCATGTGTTGTCTTTTTTAAGCCTTTGCCTCAAAAACTGAAATGTATTGTTTATTTATGCATATACAGATACTTTTTCCAGTACCAATAATATTAAAATATTATGATTTACATACAGAAATTATTTGATGTGATTGGTGTGTATTTTCTTGAACAGCAATATATTTGTGATTGATTTTGGAAGAGTATATATTAAAAAAAACTTATAGTAATTATGAATAAAAACATTATTTGCAGGCCTACTTCCATTATTATAATAACGAATCGGCTTGTATAAGCTGGAAGAACATCTAGAAATCAAATAATCTATTGAAAGGACCATTGACTCTCTCATGATGTTCATAGTCCAACCAAATTATGCTGCTTCTTTCTTAATTTTTTTTAGATGCTAAATTTCATGTTTAAGCACCAACGATTTTTTGATTTTCTAAAAATGAAGAAAATTAACATCTGTTAATTTAGTAGTTAAATTGCATACCCAAATCATTTGATTGAAATATTTGATGTTTTCCCTTCAAATTGTTTAAAAAATATTACTATTCAGTGTTTTTTATTTTAAATTACATGATATGGAAAAAATATATTTGTGTAATTTTTTATAAGTTAAATAAGATTATTGATAAAATGCAAATCTTGATTTTCATCAAGGTGTTAATAAATATTTAATTAATTAAATCAATTTATGTTGGGTTGCATTAAAAAACTTAGTAATGTTGGCCACGACGAAAGAGAAAAAAGTAAGACGTAATTGAGAAGATAATACAAACTCAAATATATCAATAAACAAGTGTTTTTGGTTAAGAGTTTGTTATTGCTGTTTTCACTTTCTATTGCATCCATTATATGATGATGTAAAAATATAAGTATATATAAATATAATGTTAAAAAATATTTTAGACTTTTACAGTTTTTTTGTATTTTTAAATTTTTAAAAAAAATAAGAATAATATTTAGATATTTAATATTTTGTGTACTTTTTATTTATTTATTTTGAATGAAAAGAAAAAAACCACTAAGAGGCGAACAACACCATCAATTCAAACAACTCGAGCATCATCATAAAAAATATGGCTTATTTCCGGGACAGATCATGGAATAAGTGTATGCCAAAAGAAGGTTTCCAAGGAAATTTTGCATTCTCTAAGGACGTGAGCCAATTGAACCGTCCAATCTCATTTAACAACTCGATTGCATTCTCTAAGGACGTGAGCATCAGCAACTCGATTGCATTCTCTAAGGACGTGAGCCAATTGAACCGTCCAATCTCATTTAACAACGTATATAAATTGTCAATAATTAAAAAAGATTGTAAAGATATATTACCTTATAATCACTTATACTACTAAAAAAATTCACAAACAAAATAAGAATTGTATTATATTAAAGTCTTTTTCTCTTTACATATGCCTCCACTTCTGCTCTATCTCGGTCATTTTCCTTTTTATTATTCATCAAAGTTAAAGGTTGCCGCATATCTGACAAGTATAGAAAGTAATATGGTAATGATATTAAAGTTGCAGTGTACAATTTTAAGCTTTTTTTTTTGTTGGTTTGACAAGTACATACAAATATGAAGAGAAAAAAAAAGATACAATCCATGCTCCAAACCTCCTCTAATCACAACCTGTTATATGCAAAAGGCCAACTTCTGCACAAGAAGAATATAACAGTTGGGATCACGTACAAAATTAACCACTGAAGGGCGATACCAAATCATGTGCGTGCGTTTGAAAACCCAAAACCATTCTCTTTTAATTTGGTCAATCATATTATATAAACAAAAAAGATAGGGCATTATAATTACATGTGTTTGTATATTGGTAATGTATGACCATTATATTGTCCACAAGTGCCAGCGAAAAACACAGAGTCTCGCCATTCTCTCTTCAAAGGAAATGTATATATTATGTTTGTTATATCCTTTGTTGTAAAGCCAGCTATGGTTTTAAACACACTCCATCGAGTTCTTTTATGATTTGTTGGCAAACAAAACTCCTTCTTTATGTGGGGTTGATGAGCAGAGATAAAGAAAGTTGTTATGGTAATAAAGTTAAAAAATAAAATTCACGTAAAAGAAATCAATATAATAAACAGGGGTGGGTTTATGAAGTTAGCATGTTGGCAGTGCCAGCGTTAGGGACGATGAGACAGCTATGAGGAAACTCTTGAGTTGTTTTTTATGAAAACTGTACAAGTCCGTGAACTGGCTGGCTGGCTATTTTATCCACGTGGGGGTCGTATCACTCGTTGAGAACAATGAGCTGGACTTCATCTACTTTCTTCTCTCCATTTTATTGTTATTTATTATTTCCTTTTCCTTTTCATTGTATTGTATTGTTTTCATGGCTGAGTTGAGACCCACCTCCACTGGTTCCATGATTTCCATCCCATCAAACCAAGCCAATCAATGCCCATTTAAAGTTGCAACTCTCGCCTCGATACCCCTCGTCGCTGTTTTGTTTCTCACAAATATTATTATTCTTCCCTCACCACTACCACATAAGGATTGAATTCCAAATTGCCCTTTTTTGACCTTGTAATGAACCACTGTTACAGTATCTGATACCCTTTTCTTTTCTTTTTTTTAAGATCAGCGTCAAGATGTTTTTATTGCAGTCGGTCTTAAAACAAATCTTTGTACGGGTGTCTTAAAGTAACATCCGAGGTCCATGGAAGCTACGTATGAGAAAATCAGAAGGATAGGTTAGGGGTTAAAAGATCTTTGGCTTATAGGTTACCGATCTTTGGACAAATAGGAGCTGTTTCAGCAGCTGCTTTTAAGTCGTTATTAAATGTTATGTAACAATATTTATACAATTGTCATACGAGATTTAGATTTGAAGGTGAAGCATTCAAAGACCTAAATAAAGAGACCCAAAATGGAAACTCTAAATGGCCTACTCTTCTTGGGGTTTAAATAATGGTTCTGAATAAAAAAACCTAACATTTGGAACCATTATAAATCACCAAATTATGGGTGTCTAATTTAAAGTCGGACTTCATAATTTTACAAAAACACAATATAAATATAAAGATAGATAAATGCTCTTTATCCATATACATGAAAATTACCTGCCCATCATCCACCGGCACTGGTTGGCCTAAACACCAATATCGAATAAAAGAAATACCGTAGATTTCTCATTTTTAAAACAATAAGATCTATGATTATATGTAATCTGACAGTGAAATCTTCTGTTCTGACTGGACAGAAAAATATTGTTTATTATCATATGGACCATGTCAAGGTTTTGAGTGGGCTTTTTGTGAATACATAAGTCATTTAAAGAAATTGGGCAACTTTAAACCAAATGATGGGTTTCTGAGTTTTCAGGCTGGGCCTATATTTCACATTTGCTGAGTTTTGAACATTAGTAGGGTTTATCCGTATCTGTTAATTAAACCGTGCTGATATTTTGATTTAAAATAACGGTAAAGTACAATTGTTCTCTAATTATGGGGTGTTGTTTTGCTAAGTCTCTTTATTATTAAAAGTTATAAAATTATTTTCTGACTATAGGACACTACTTTGTTGAATAATAGAAGTTACAAAATGGTTATTTGACTATTCATTTGTTCCAATCTCGTTCTTTTTTATTAAAAAATTGATTATATTTTGTAATCATTTTAGTTTTATTTTATGGATCGAATCTCTATTTACATTATGTCATCGAGCCAGTACTTTAAAGCAACAACGGTGCTAGTATATATCATTAAAATATGATTTTATCATATCTCAGTGAACATGTTAATATTCGGTTTAGACGAGCGTTAATTTTTTATCGAAAAAAGACGATTTTGGAATATATGAATAGTTGGGTGACCATATATGAATAGTCTGATGATCATTTTATAACTTTTAATAGTTGAAGGACTTAACAGAACAACGTCCTACGGTCGATTGATTATTTTGTAACTTTTAATAATAAGAGGACTCAATAAAACAATATCTTATAATGAGAACTATTTGTATGCTTTACCCTTAAAATTGTTGATAAAATGTTTGTAGACGTTTAATCGGACAACTACCGATCAAAATCAAAAGCGAACAAAACATGTCCAAAGGGTATGCTGTGCATAATCATATGGCCAAGTAAATAAGCTCGTGCCCTCCTAACATTTGGGGTGGTGGCGCAGTTGGCTAGCGCGTAGGTCTCATAGCTTCTGAGTTATCCTGAGGTCGAGAGTTCGAGCCTCTCTCACCCCATTTTATCTCATTATTCTCCGTTTTAGACAATGCTGGATACGTTTCTTTCGCTGAATTGGGATCAGACACCGTGCAGTATGCACTTTTTCAATGTCCTAACGTGGACAAGATTCTTGTCAGTAAGAATGGTTTTGCATCTGATCCCTTCAGTGTTGGGTGACCAAGCAGCAGGCAATGGTTAACAATGCTGTTTTTGAAGTTGAAGTTTAGTTGTTTCCACCTGTGGACCATAAAATTCCTCTTAGGTGGCCAACTGGGAGAAGATGTCATTTGGGTTGCAAATGTTAAAATTAATGGTGAAGAGGTATTTTCCTGTGGCTGTGTTAACCTATAGGTGAGTAGATGTTTCTCGTCAGTTAACTTTCGCATCTAATTGACTTCATCCCCTTTCCCCTTTACCCATTTATTATTCTTACAAATGTGTTTCTTCAACTCTCTGCTTCGTGCTATTGCAGAATGCTGCTGCTGGAGGAACACCAGATTTCTTTTCGTTCAGCTTCACTCATGTTTTCGATGGCGTGGAAGATTATTCTCATCAGATTACTGAAATGATTGGACTGAGATATGAATCTAACTTCATACAAGCAGGTTAAGCTGAAACTCTCC